ATTATAAAATAAAAATATTAAAAAAAAATAGAATGTAGCCCGAGTGACAGGATTGCTCCCCAGGGAAAGACAATCTCGCCCATTCATCTGCAAAGTGTGGACAGCAAAGCTTTAAAGTTCAGGTTAGATGACGTCTTGGGGTGGGTGGGCTATGTGTCTGTGAGAGGGGGGTTTATCCTGGGACTTAGCATACAATAAGCCTTCCTTCAGTGCTGGGGGATGGCTTTCTGTATGCTGTGAATATGTGTGGCTCCCATTGGATAATAAATAAAGCTGTTTTGGCCTATGGCAAGAAAGCTTACAGTCAGGTGGGAAATCCCAGCAGAGATACAGAGAGAAGAAGGGTGGAATCAGGGGAGACACCAGCCCACAGCCAAAGGAGCAACAAGATGCCAGCAGACCAGTAATGCCATGACCATGTGGCAACATATAGATTAATAAGAATGGGTTGAATTAAGTTGAGAGAGCTAGCTAATATAAGCTGAAGCCACAGGCCATACAGTTTGTAATTAATATAAGCCTCTTAGTGATTATTTTATAAGCAGCTGTGGGACCATGGATGGGAGATATTATTCCTGACCACGGGGGTCCAGGCAGGACCTGAGAAACTTCTGGCTACACTTCAGCTCATCTACTGTCATTTATTTGGCATGGGGAGGGGGAGGGGGGGGACACCATTCATGAGGTTAGGCCTGGCTAGGGCGGGGTGGGGGGGGAGATATGTGTGTCTCTGAAAATGAAGGCTGCAGAATAAACAAAAAGCAGAGGAGGGGGGGGAGGGGGAGACTGCAGCGCTCTGGGGTACAGCTTAGTGGTACAGCACTTGCTTAGCATGCAAGTGTCCCTGAGTGCCACAAAATTAATTTAAAAAGCAGAGAAAGAGACAGAGGCAGAAAGAACTCTCAGCTCTCATTTACCTAACTAGACACTGGAGAGTCTGATGGAAAACATGCTTGAGCCTGTCGCGGTGTACTGGAGGGAGAGACTGCCGCCCCTTTACACTCCACAGTGCCACCAAGGGCCACCGGAGACTACGCAGCCCAGGGCCGCCTGGGACACTTCTCTCCCTTTTTCTTCCTTCCACTGCCTTATTGTCAGAAGCCTCTTATTCTTGCCGTCCTGTATCCTTCCCTGTTTTCTCTAGGGCCACAGGTCAAGTGGGACTAGGATACTAAGTGTTCTACCGGGAACTTGGTTCGTGGACTCCCTTTGGAGAGAAGCTGCAGCGATGCCGTGCATTCGGGCAGAGCTGCCCGTGGTGCATCAGGGTGAGGAGTCGGAGAGAAGCTGCAGCAAAGCCATGCATTCGCAATGCTGAGCTGCCTCAGACATTTCTTCATCTGCCTTTGTGCCAGAAAGCCACCCCCTGTTCTAGGCTGAGGGACAAAAACCTGGGCAAGAACCGGGGTCCACTCTGACTCTCTGCCTGCTGGCCAAAGTCCATGATTATCAGCATCATATTCCCTCCGACTAGCAGGAAAATGCGTTACTAGGTTACAATCTCAGGTTCCACCATGAGATGAGTCTGTAGGGATGCAGATCTTCCCTTCTTCATGTATGTGAGCTTTGATCTTGAGCAAGTTGTGTGAACTCGGTCCCTGTATCTAGCTGCAAACACAGAAAGGATAAAGTGGAATGATGCCGGTAAAAGGCTTGGCTCTTTGTGTGTGTGTGTGTGTGTGTGTGTGTGTGTGTGTGTGTGTGTGTGTGTATGTAGTTTCAAGACAGGATTTCTCTGTGTAGCCCTGGCTGCTTTGGAACTTGCTCTGTAGACCAGGCTGGCCTCGAACTCACAGAGATCCATCTGCCTCTGCCTCCTGAGCACTGGGATCAAAGGCGTGTGCCGCCGCCGCCGCCACCGCCGCCACCACCATAGGGCAAGGCTTGGCTCTTAATAAATTCTCAAGAAGCAGGAGTGTAGTGGCATATACCCGCAATCCCAAAACTCTGGAAGCTGAGGCAAGGGGTTCCTGGTTGGAGGCAAGTGTGGGCTATGTAGCAAGACCTTCAATAAATAAATAAATAAATAAGTAAGTAAGTAAATAAGAAAATCAGCCTGAAATAGGTGACGGCACCTACAGCTGCAGTAGGGTGGGCAAAAGAAAGGAAAGCAGTCCTGGGACATAGCTCAGGGGTAGAGGTAGAGGACATACTTTGCATTTGCATGCTGCTTAGTGTGGAGCCCCCCCCAAAAAAACGAGGGGGTGTGGGGAGATAACATGAATACCTCTGGTTTCCTTCTTTTCACACAAGGGTACTAACCTCATCCCGGGGGCCACATCTCCTAATACCATCACATTGGAGACTAGGGATCTATATAGGAATTGGAGGGGGTCCACAAGTAGTTCGTAGATGTAGGTAAACAGTTGTTTTCATTGTTGTAGTGTGAATCAGAGGAACTCACTGTCACGCAATTACAAAGAAAGATGAACTTTTGAGCGGCTCTGTGCTGTCCGGCTTGGTCATCCTGTGGAGGCACGGCCTAGCCAGAGTGCAGCTTAAAGCCACTGACCTCTCCCTGGGCATCACATCTTTCTCCTTAGAAAAAACGTTTCACCTAGTGATGTGTCATCGGCATGTAATATTTTTCCTCTGTTGGACCAGGGTGAGTATGAGGCAGTTCCACACCATGACAGGACAAAGTTCCTCTGTTGTGGAATATCAATTTTATGATGTGTTACGTTCATTTTTTTTTGCTGTGGAATATTTGTTTAATGATATAAAGATGTGTTGCATTATTTTTTTAACTGTGTTCTGTCATAGTTTATTAATGATGACTAAAAGACGAGCAAAAGGAAGTGAAGCACGTGTCCAAAACCAAAAATGATATGATCATTCTTTTATGTCTTATTTGTTTAACTCTGTGAGGCTGTGTTGCTTTGCCTGTCTAAAACACCTGATGAGCTGAGAGGCCACTATCGAGGCAGGAGAGTGATAGGTGGGCCTGGCAGGCAGAGAGGATAAATGGGAGGAGAGAAGATAAAGGGGGGATCGAGAAAAGGAGGAGAGGAGGACGCCAGGGTCCAGCCACCCAGCCACACATCCAGACATGGAATAAGAAGGAAAGAAAGGATATACAGAAATAGAGAAAGGTAAAAGCCCAGAGGCAAAAGGTAGACAAGATCATTTAAGTTAGAAAAGGTGGCTAGAAACAAGCCAAGCTAAGACTGGGCATTCATAAGTAAGAATAAGTCTCTGTGTATTTATTTAGGACCTAAGTGGCAGGCCTGTGTAGAGCAAAGAGTTAAAAAAAAAAAAAGCACTATATCCCTCCACCCACATCATCTCCACTGGAGCTAGGTGAGGTCCTTTCCCATTCTGTGTTGGGCTTTTAAATTGCACTCAAGGTCAGACAGAGTCATCTTTATTATACTCTGAACTAGGGAATGCTCCACTGTAGTGGTTTTTCTTGTTGCTATGACAAAAGCGACTTCAGAAAAGAACAGTTTATTTTGGGTCACAGATTAAGAATTCAGTCCATCATAGCAGGGAAGGTATTGTGACCCAAGAGGGAAGCAGTTGGGGATACTGGGTCCACAGTCAGAACAAAGAGGGGATGAATGCTGATGATCAGCTCACACTCACCTTTTTACTCATCTGGAGCCCCGGAATATGGAATGGTGCCATCCTCAGTGGGGAGGGGGTCCTCCCACCTCAATGAACCTCATCTAGAAACTCACAGACACGTCCAGGGTTTGCCTCCCTCTCCATTCCAGGTTCTCTCAAGTTGACAGTCCATGTTAACCATGACACCCACCAATGCATTTTCCTAAACCGCTATAAATGGTGGGTTTTCTTACTCTCTCCAAAGATTGCCTTGAGAATCTTATTTCACAAATGAGCTAGACATCGTGTTTTTATTTAAAATCCAGGAGGATATGTCAGACACTCTCAAGGGCAGACTGTGCTGTGCAAAATGTAAAACACAATACTGAAACCCACATCATCCGAATAAATATCAAAGAATTCCTTTCCATGGATAAGTGCCCTTATTAAAAATTAAGGCAGAATGGAACCAGGCAGTGGTGGTGCACACCTTTAATCCCAGTACTTGGGAGGCAGAGCCAGATGGATCTCTGTGAGTTTGAGGCCAGCCTGGTCTACAGAGCGAGATCCAGGACAGGCACCAAAAACTACACAGAGAAACTCTGTCTCAAAAAAAAAAAAAAAAAAACAAAACAAAAATTAAGGTAGAATGCATTCCTATCTATCTATTATCTGTTTGTCTGTCCATCCATGCTTTCATTCATTCATTCTCTATCCATCCATCCATCCATCCATCCATCCATCCATCCATCCATCCATCCTTCCATCCATCATTTTGTGGTGCTAGAAATTGAACCCAGGCTTTATGTTTGGAAGCCATGTACTCTTCTTACACCAAGTTATATCTCCAGGCCCATTTATTTACATCTAAATGTGCTTTTTTATGGTATGCATTTCACATCCTGTAAGTGCACATTTAGATTTATTCAGAAACCGTTTGACAATATCCTGATAACCTATGGCTTGGGAAATGGCTCATGACATGACAGAGCCTCTGATGCCCTGTCAGTGTGTCAAAGTGCCTGGTTAAGGCTGGACTGCCTGTGTTTGTGGGAGGTTTACCTCTGGTTTTGGCTCATCTTCAACACACGCCCAACTTGAGCTTCATTTCCATCAAATCAACAGTCCATGTCACACTGAATGGAAAAGCCAAGTACAGTGGATCAGGTTCACCACCGAATGCACCTGGGCTATATTTAAAACTTACCGAGCCGGGCGGTGGTGGCGCATGCCTTTAATCCCAGCACTCAGGAGGCAGAGCCAGGCAGGTCTCTGTGAGTTCAAGGCCAGCCTGGTCTACAGAGTGAGATCCAGGGCAGGCACCAAAACTACACAGAGAAACCCTGTCTCGAAAAACCAAAAAATAAATAATAATAATAATAATAATAAAAACTTACGAAACCATGACCTGTCAGGTTTATCTCCATGGCAGTCTCGATTTTGTTCATGTTCAGGCACTGATGAGGAGTTGGAACACTCAGGATACAGCACCACGGAAGAAGGAATACTAGACGAGGAGACGACAACGAGTGCTTTGGCTGTCGGGACCACGGAAGTGTCAGCCACAGGCACAAATTCTACCTCCACCGAGGAGACTGTCGATCCCCCAGGCCAGCTGCAGTTTGTGTCAATGGTGGTGGTCCCCCTGGCAGTGCTGGTCTTCCTTCTGTCCGTGATTCTCATCGCCATCTACCTTAAAAGCAGGAGACCTAAACGAGGTAGGTGACTGGTGTGTCCCCGTTTGCAGACAATTGTTTTACCCCTGAACGGGCCGCCAGAAACAAAATGCTCTTTTCTTTTCTTTTCTGCAGAGCCTTCTAGCCAAGGATCTCAAAGCGTCTTGCAGACGTGTGAGTATCTGCTTGGTGGTGGGGGTAATAGTTACTGATGAGTGATATATCTCACTGACGTCTTCAAGGAGTTAATAATGCCATTGTGTGTGTGTGTGTGTGTGTGTGTGTGTGTGTGTGTGTGTGTGTGTGTGTTTAATTTTCAGTCTACATTGAAATTATAATAAACTGCTGTTATCGGAGCATGTTCGAGACCAGGGTCCTGGAGAATCTTGGCCACTAGAATAATTTGACATTTCACCTTGTGGGAGGAAAGGGTCAGGCAGGTGCCGTGTGAGTCAGATTGGAGTTCAGGACAAAGGCTTGAAGGGTCCATCACTCTCCCGTGAAAAGGCCTCCTTTGTCCACATTTCTATAATGGAAATGACTTTCCCCAGCCCACATTCCAGGTTGACCTTGAAAAGGGCAGAGGGAAACATTCTTCTTGTTCCCACCGAGGCTGCGTCTATATGGAAATTGTTAACTGACTCAAGATGGCTGACTGAAATCAAGATAGGTAGCTCCCAGTCACAGGTGCGCTCTTCAAGTACAGGAGAGGACGAGAGGAGTACTAGAATTCAGGGGCTGTCTGGGTCCCAAGCAGACTTGTGCTAGTAAGCTGTGACTGACTCCAATTTTTGTTTGTTTGTTTGAAATTATATTTGTGTGTGTGTGCGTGTGAGTGTATGTGTGCGTGTGTGTGTGCGTGCGTGTGAGTGTGTGTGTGTGTGTGCAAACACGCACACACATTGGTGCACATGCGGAAGTCAGAGGACAGCTTGCAGGAATTGGTTCTCTACTTCCACCGTGTCGGTCCTAGGGATCGAACTCGGGTTGTCAGGCTTGGCATCAGGCATCTTTGCCTGCTGAGCCAGCTCACTGGCGCCGGCTTCAGTTTGAAATGGAAGCTCTTAAAAGTCATTTCAAGCTTCACTTAAGGGATAGGACCTTCCCAAGTAAGAAGCATAGGCAGGCTCACATAGAAAATTTATCCTGGGTCCTCCAGGCCTACTCACAGGGCACCTTGATGTCCGTGCTTTCTGTCCCATACTGGGACAACCACGGAGCTCCAGGCAGGTGCTGTAATGACTAATGCACAGCCAACAGATGAGGGAAATGGAGCTGGGGAGGAAGTGCTACCCTCTTCCTTCACAGAAGGAACTGGAAAATAGACAAAGGAGGAAGAGAAAACCCCTTCTCCATCACTTGATGTTTTAGAGTAGCCTAGCAACAGTAGTCTCAGGGGAGCTTCTCTGTAATCTATAGTTAAATCAAGACCCAGTGGGGCTGCCCGGACCCCGCCGGCTGCCCTTGTCGCCCAGCCTGGACTTCACTCCTCCACTCAAGTAGTCCTCCTGCATCTCTCTAAAGTAGCTGTGGGCTACAGGCATGTGACTCTGCACCTGGCTCTGTCCTTGCCTCCTTTCTCAGCCTCGGAGGAAGCAGGAGTTCCCTGTGAAACCTCCATACCTAGGGGAGTCCAGAGCTGGGCTCAGGCTTCGGAGCTCTTTGAACTCTGGGGTTCAAGTCTCTCAGTCCCAAAGGCATTTGCATGTGAGGAGCAGCCCCACCCTCAGTCTGGGCCCCTGCATCCTCTAAGCATCCCACACTCAGCTACTGTCCAAGCACCTGCTGGTCCAGAGCCTGACCTGACTTCCCCGGGATGCCAGAGGCCTGGGGACGACCACCGCTCCTTTTGTCTGAACTTTCTTCTGGTCCCCTTCCTTCACTGACCAGTTCTCGGGTTTTATGAGGTTTGAGCAATCCCTCCTGGGGCAGACTTCGTCTCTGCCCACCTCATGCTGGCTCAGTGCACCATCCACACTTACCGTTCACAGGCTTCACGCTGGCCTTATCTGAACGCTTGCAGTTTGTTTTCTGTTCTGTTTTTTTTTTTTTTTTTTTGTCTGTCACATTATGCTCTCTTTGAAGTCCAAAAGAACCAAGAACTCGGCTTAACCCTCTTGCTTGACAGACACTGTGGCATGGGGGTGAGAGAGGCAGCAGAAGCTCACTGCTTGGCTGCTTAGCTCTACCAGTCCTCTGACTCAGCTTCCTTACCCGTAAAATTGCTTAATTCAACACCCACCTTGTAGAGCTGTGAGAATTGAGTGATGTCATTTAAAAATGCCTGGATTATTAAAGGCTAACTATCTACTTACTAAAGACATTTGTGTGTGTGTGTGTGTGTGTGTGTGTGTGTGTGTGTGTGTGTGTGTATGTGTGTCTGTCTGTCTGTCTGCCTGTGTGAGCTTATATGCATCAGGTTTATACAGGTGCCTCAGAGGCCAAAAGAGGCCAAAAGAAGCTATCAAATCCCCTGGAACTGAAGTTACAGACTGTTGTGAGCTATCTTGTAGGTGCTGAACCCTGATCTTCTGCAAAAGCAATAAATGCTCTTAACTGCTGAGCCATCCATTGTTCCAGCCCCTTCACTTACTATTATTATTATTATATGTTTACTTAACATAATCTTCAGTCTGTAATATGTTTGTTGCTTGATACATGCTGTTGAATGATTGAATAAATGGATGTCAAGATCCTTTTTAAAGAAAACTTTACACTCTTAGATATAAGAACAAAATTCCAAACCTTCATGGTGAGGCAAGCCTGTCATCCCAGCATTCAGGAACTGAGGCAGGAGGATGTTGAGTTCCAGGGTTATCTGGGCTACAAAGCAAGACTCTGTCTCAACAACAACAAAAGCCAGATTTGCACATTATCCCTACTACAGATTGGCACATTGTCTTAGCTTAAATATGCCTCATTTTAAGAAAATATAACACAGAAATCTAAGAATTCTGAAACAATAGATTTCAGAAGAGTTTTTCCCCATGTGCATATGAATGTGTGTGTGTGTGTGTGTGTGTCCATGTATACGCTGCTACACGTGTGTGCAGGAGAATGTGGACATGTGTGTGGAGATCAGAGGCCAAGCTGGAGTGTCTGCTTCGGAAACACAGTCTCCCTCCTTGAGACAGTGCCCTGCCCTGGCTAAGAGGCTAGGCTCCCAGGTCCTCTTGCCTCCACCTCTTCAGGGCTGGGATTGCAAGCGTGGACACCCATGACCAGAATTTTGCCACAGGTTCTGGAGATTGAACTCAACTTCTCATGTTTGTGAGGCAGGTACCTTACTGACTGAGCATCTCCTCTACCTCAGAAAAGTTTTTGATAGAGATCTTTATTTGATTTTTTTCTATACTAACCACTACTTTTATGTAAATACAAATTCCCTTTTCTCAAACTAAATGCTGAAAGGTTAAATGCCTCTTATGAAGTCTACTCATTTGCATTTAGCATAATTAAAGTTCAAAGAATATTTAAATATACCAAGTTCCACTTAAATACGTGGGTTTTTAGGAAAAATAAAACTGTCATACTAAGTTCGACAAACAGGCTAGCTTTGTGGGACAGGTGGACACCTATGTACAGGAAAACCCCCAGGAAATAGAAATATACATCCTGTTTCTGTTCTGTATGATGGAGCCTGGACCCTTCCTCCACATCCAGGGAGTAAATCTTTACATTTACAGCTGGAGAGGACTTAACCAACACTTTTTAAGTAGCCCTTCGTTTGACTGGAAACTATTCTATCGGTGTGTGCTGGGAGGGAACTCAGGGCCTCGATTGCACTAGGTATACACTGCACCCCTAAATCACCTTTTCCCTTTTCATATCCAGGAAAGGGGGACACTGTGTACTGGGACAGTCTGCTGTCCTCTATCCTAGACCTCCAACATTCTGTCTGCAGTTGTGATTTAATACCTATAAAGGGTCGTGAATGCCTACGTATCAGAAGCATAGGCAAGCACATTTGCGTCTTTTTCACACTGTCAAAATTTACTGAATAACGATAAATTCACAAGGTGGTAGTTTGTTTGGCAACAGGTTTCCAATTAATCTTGCTTTTCTTGATAGCCAGTCAAAGCAGGCACAGGTTTTATATTTTAACCCTTACTATAATATTAATTTTTAGTCACATATTATATATCATACAGTAAAACAATAAATCTGTCTATCATTTATCTATCTATCATTTATCTATCTACCATTTATCTATCTACCCATCTATCCATCCGTCCACTCAAGTTCCTGAATGGCTACAGAGGGCTCTGAGAGGCCACAGCAGAGTTCCAGGTGCTCCAAAGAGGACCGAGAAGCCACAGCTGGGAACCTGACAGGTCCACACGGAGTCTCTGCAGGATAAAATAGAAGTGCAGGTTGGAGCTCTGCTGGAGATACTGCCACAGAGTCAGGCTGCAGGCTCAGAGTTGAGCTGCCCAACTGAGGTGCAGGGGAGGCTGTGAAGGTAAAGGGCACGACAGGGAGGGTCTAGGATGGACAGATGGACAGACAGACAGCAATTCTAGTAGGCTCTATCTGTAGTTCTCTGCATATCAGTTCCGTCTGTCTGTTTGTCTGTCTGTCTCTCTCTCTCTCTCTCTCTCTCTCTCTCTCTCTCTCTCTCTCACACACACACACACACACACACACTCACACACGAGTTGCCAGATGACAGTTGGGTGGAATAGTTGCAGTCACAGTGTCAACCATCCAGTCTTCGTAGTTCAGGTGAGAAACTTCTGCTGTTTCTGCAGCCTGGTGTGTCAGGCAACTCCTCAGGCCCAGTTTTCCTCCTATGGCTCAATCCACCCGAGTGCAGCTACAGTCTCAACTTACTTTGATCAATTTATACAGTGGCACCCTTTCTACTCGTAATAAGTTATTTTTCACTGGGTGCCTTATGGGTAGTTCTGGATAGGTGGTGTCATTCCGAGGACCTCCCAGGTCCATAGTCATCCTCCACCTCCAAAGGAAGGCAAGTTCCTCTTGCAAAATGTAATCTCTGAGGGAAAGACAGCCTGGGGGAAGAAAGTCCTCACTGTTTCAGACAGCCTAGAGTAAGGTAGGGTGGGGCACGCCTTCCTCAGCGTTGTCTTGATGTGTTAGGTGTCTCTCAAAGAACTGCTGCCGAGTATGGGCAGGAAGTCTCCCCTTAGAACAGGCCATGGCTGCCGGATGCCTGGCCCTGCTCAGGGTGTCTCCTGCTCTGTCAGGAAAGTCAGGAAAGCAGGTGGCCAGAGCCCCCTGGGGCTCCTTCCCTCAGCCACCGTGCCAACAATCCCACCGTCCATGGCACAGAAAGAAGAGGAGCTGGCCAGGGTCTCGTCAAGATACGTGACTGGAAAGGAGAGAGACAAGGTGGGGGAGCCATGACCTAGCAGGCTGGAAAGGGACAAAGTGGAACCCGAGGGGGTGGGTGCACCGAGCCGGTGGCTATTAATAAAGAGATGTAGGCCATGTGGAGTGGAGCAGGCAGGACCTGATTGCTGAGGACAAGTAATTGGTCTCCCCCCCTGGCTTAATGCTCCGCTCTTGTCCTCTCTCCCAGATGTGTTTCTGTTGCCATGGTGGCTGGGGCAGAGGTAATGGCCCTGGCGCAGGGAAGATGAGGCCACAGAAGGCTTTTTGCTCTTTTAATACTGATTACAGAGCCTCTCATTTGGTGTATCTGGAGCACTTTGGTAATGGATTTTTAAACTTTTCCATCATCTGCATGCAGGTCAGCTCCCGCTCACCTCCATGCCTGTGGGGAGCTCAGATTGGAGAAAGAAATCTGTGCTCACCGTGGGGCCATGGAGTCACTTGCTCTCTGTGCTCACAGTGGGGCTGTGGAGTCACTTGCTCCCTGAGAAATCAGTGGGGGAGTTAGTAAGCAGGGAAAGGGGGATTGGTGGGAAGTGGAGGGTGATGGGGGTGGGGGTGGGGGCTCCACAGGGTTCAGTCCCCGGGCACTGCAGAAATCAGGGGTGGTGTGGCCCATGTTTATAATGCCCGTGCAAGAGGTTCAGAAGTTCAAGGTCAACCTCAACTATATAGCAAGTTTGAGGCCAGCCTGAACTATGTGAGACCCCCCTCCACCTCAAATAACAACAACAACAAAACTGTGGGCCCAAAACGTGTAAGATGAAGCCATCCCAGCCTCACCTCAGCTCCCGGAGAGTCAAGCATCACTGGAAGCTTCAGATTCTATTCAGGGGAGGAAGAGAGACCCACAGTGCCTTCAGGGCAAGCAGTGATGGCATGAAACCCGCCCTCCTGGATTAGCCATGCCACTGAAGCTTGCCAACCAGCAGCATACACCAACTGTGCCACCCTGAGCTCAGTTCCAGGTGCCCGCTCAGGGCTGTGTTTCCTCGCTGATGACTGTACCTGGGCAGGCTAGACACGAGGTGGCCTCTGATTGTCGGGGTCAGGAGCATTGGACCTATCTGGGGACCTCGACAAAGGTTTGCCTTCCAAAGCATCTGTCTGGTTCACAGGGCACCTACTTGCCATCACTGATTCCCTTCTCAGGGGATGTTGGTCTCCCTGCCAAACTAAACAGAGTTCGCTTGGGCCAGGCAGCGGGCTATGATCCTCGCCACCTGTTCATCTGGAGTCTAATCTGCATTAGAGCTGTTTCGTCAAATGGTACCTGACTCTCACCCCAATCAGCAGCCATCAAAGACAAGCTGGTTGGAAGTCCCACTATTATAGTAATGATAGGTCCCGAAGACCAGATGTGAATTTAACTCCATTGCTAGACAACTGAGATTAAAGCCTGTTCATCTGTCTAGTGAATATTTACTAGGCGTTTGTTAGGAACTGTGCTAGCAGGATGGGGGGGGGGCGGCTGGGGCGTGCCACAGTGAACAAGGCAGATGCTATCCTGGCCCTTTGGGAGCTGTGTTGTACTGGGAGAGCCAGACGGAAGAGAATCAAGCAGATGGTCTAACAGGTGAGACCCTGGCCAGTACTGTGAAGGAAGCAAGTGAAATGCAGAGCCGGGGACCAATGGGACAGACGGACCTTCCCGAAAGAGAGGTGGGGATGACTGACTGAGAAGTGGAGCGATCCAGCCATTCCAAGAGCGGGGTGAAGGGGGCTTTCAAAGGCATCCCTTGATGGAATCACCCACGTGACATAGTGTTCAGAATGGTGTGTCATGAGGACATGATGCTGGAACATTATTTTATTGAAGGGCATCAGGAATCAACCTCTTGATTTTGTTTGTTTGTTTGTTTAACACTTCCTTTCTTTCCTAACCATGCTTTTCCTCTTCACATGGATGCAAAAATAATAAGGAAGGTGAGCACTCTCGGGGAGCACTCATCTCTAAAGAATGCAGAGTCCGTGGTTCTGTGGGCATTCAGATCTGGTTTCCCTGTAGCGGTGTGACTGACTTGGAGGCTAATGACTGCCCCTTTAGAAGTGTGATTCACGGGCCTCAAGGTGCCTCAGTGGGTAAAGGCCTTCAGTTTGATCTCTGGAACTTACATGGTAGAAGGAGAGAACCAACTTCCACAAACTGTCCCCTTCTCCTCACTCCAGTGCTGTGGGTCGCCATGCACAAAATAAATACAGTAAAAACAAGTTTTTAAGAATGTGATCACTTGCTGCTGTCTCCTTCCCGTTGCTAAGGAGCCTCAGGGTTGTTGCCGTAAATCCCCGCAGGTGACCGGAGTTGGTCTGACTCCTGTGTCTGTTCTCTTTCAGATGAACCAGTTGGTGAAAACCTGAAAGTGTGAGTGAGCCCTCCCGGCCTGTCCTCAGTTCCCCTGCGGTGTGGGCAAGAATAGTTGGGGGGGGGGGGCCTGGGTGGTTTCTTGTGGCTAGTACCCCTGGACATTGACAGCGCCCATTGTCACAAGGGAGATGTATCTTAGCCTCCAAACCTTACCCAGTGTTCTCTGCTATTGTCACCTGCCAGAAAAGGGTTTTCGCCTGGCTGCTACCAGTGCCAAATGCATGGCAGTTAAATATTCTGGCCCTAGGCGAACACCAAAGACACGGAGTGATGCCTCTCCTGCCCCTCCCATCAGCTTCCCGGAAGTAGACCCTACCTGCTTCATCTCCCAGTGCCCCGCCCACAGCGCATTCAGAACTGGGGTCTTTCCTCCCCGGCTCCATCCATCTTGACCAGAGCTTTCGCCCCTATCCATGCCCTTGAAGCCTGGGAGATTTTTTTTTGAGAGCTGCAGTCTCATTCCTCCTAATTAGAAAAGCCTGGGCACTGAAGGAGACCAGATAAAAGTACCCTGATGACTGTCCTCTTGATCTGGGTCATTGATCAAAACTCCACGACAAGAGAAGCAACACTAGGCAAGATCGGGAAGCTAAACGAGGCAGCCACTGGGCACCCTGACAACCACGTCCTTGGTCTCCAGGGAGCCGATTCTCTTTCAGTCCACTCCCCGGCCCCTGTGCCATCCAGCTCGGCCTTAGTGACAGATCAGGATTTCTTGCAGACTTTGCCTTTCTTCCTGTTTGTTTGATATGCCTTTGATTAGGGCAAACCCGGGGCTGGGCTGGGGCATCAGACACTGAATCAGGTTCTTTCTAACTAGTCAATGTTCTAGGCTCTTCCCCAGATGAAATGCAGCCTATGGGGCATGTTCCTTTTTTAAAGCATGCCTTTCTGCTCTCCGTCTAGCCCTATTTTTGAAGAGGACACACCCTCTGTTATGGAAATAGAGATGGAAGAGCTTGATAAATGGATGAACAGCATGACTAGAAACGGTACGTGGAATCCCAAAGCATTTGTTTGCCTCTCTGGTGGTGGAAGGCTGGAAGGCTGCCTTGGCTTCACCAACAGCTCAGTAGATCTGAAGTCATTCTCCATCTGGCACAGGGTCTGAATGGCCCTTACCTGTCCAGTTTAATCATAACCATGTATCTGTTGGGACCACTTGTTTTTAATTTGTGTACAAGTTGAAATGGGACTTTTCAAGGGGAGATGGTGCTGTTAATCGTTGCTTTCTGAGCGTGTGTGGTATGTATGTATGTGTGTGTGTGTGTGGGGGTGTGCTGGGAATCCAAGCCTAGCCTCTCACACACTAGGCATGTACTTTACCTCTAAGCTGCATCTCCAGCCTTCATCCTTCTCCTCAGAGATGGAAATCTGAGATCAAATTATCTGGGGGAGGAAATCTGACATGACCTTGTATTTTCTTGAATTTAGACTTTCAATCTGTATGTGGTTAGACAACTTCATCAAGTGCATTTTACATGAATCACTGTCCCATACAAAAGGTGGGAGAGCTGTGTGCCTATTTAATCAGATAAAGATAAGACATAGTCTTAGTAGCCGAAAGGTAAACAAATGGTGACAAATGGTGTGGAGTCTGACAAGATGACCCTAGAACATCTCTAGTCTGTAGATAGTTCTGTCAGACAGGACTACTGTAGACAGTAATCGGGTGTTTCCAAACAACAGTTTTCAAGTCTTCAAAATGGTATTCTTTAAAAGTCAATACATTTTTCTTAATGTTCATATGAAATTGATAAAAATCCACTATTTATATTACCATGCTATTTGTATTTGTATGTGCTACATCTGTGGTGTGTGTGTGTGTGTGTGTGTGTGTGTGTGTGTGTGTGCGCGCGCGCGCGCACGTGCGCACGCAGATGTGTGCAGAGGAAAACATCTGGTGCTGCCCTTTAATACACTCCATTCATATTCCTTTGAGAATTTTTCACTAAACCTGGAACCTGCTGCTTTTTGGTTAGATAGACGGGACAGCAGGTTATCTCTGCTCATATGTTCCTCCTGCATACACACGTGCACATGAACACATGCGCACGCGCACACACACACACACACACACACACACACACACACACACGCACTGTGAGTGGACTTGTGCACATGTACAGCCACACTGAGGTTTTTACATGAGTGCTGGGATTTGAACTCAAGTACTCAATGCTTGTGCACTAAGTAAACATTCTCACCTACTGGGTGATCTCTCCAGCTCAATCATTTGTATTTTTAAATACAGATTTATTTAGTTATCTACTAACTTACTTATGTGAATGTATGTTCACATTTGCGTGCAAGTAGGAGCATTTATGCATGTGCATGATGGCCAGAAGAGGGTGTTGCACGTTCGGTGAGAAACCCTGCCTCAAAAAATAAGGTGAAGAGCCATAGATCAGGACACCCAATGCCAAACTCTGGCCTCCACATGGGCATACATGGGTATGCATATGACACCCCAGGAATAACAACACACACACACACACACACACACACACACACACACACACACACACATACACACACACACTGTGTGTGTGATAGAGAAGAAAGAAGCTCCCTGGAGAAGGTGGTCCCTCCCCACCTTCCTGATGCCTCTGCTATAAAGTTGTTCTGCAGACGCTTCAGGACCCGAGGCACAGCCGTTTTATTCCTGTGTCTAGCCTTCAGGAGGCATATTCTGGCTTTCAGAGCACAGTGGACTTCCGGGGACCAGCTGAGCAAGCGATGATGAATGGTGCCCTTTTCAACAGGGGCACAGAACACGGCAGTCTCGTATCTGTGTGATTCCTGCTCTCACCGTTTCGAGAGCCCCAGCATCATTAATCTTTGAACCTCTAGAACTCCCCAGTGGGGCCGCTTCTTCACAGGCAGCCGCACAGAGGGTATAGTCCGTGCTCGGCGGTGTCAGTTGTGTGGGTAGAAAAGGCAATTCCGGCGACTAACGTTGAGTTTGTTTTCTCCTGTCTTAGCCGACTATGAAGGTTTACCTACTTTGAAGGAAGAAAAGGAACCAAACCTCAGCCCAAGGTATGTCTGGTTTCTCTCAGAGGTCAGGTAGAGCGGAAGAGGGCCACGGCCACAGCCCAGCACTTACTCACTTGCTCTATGACTGGCAACTCAACCTGTCCGTTTACGTGGAGGAATGTGTGGTCAGGAAGCATGTTCTGGAAAATACAAAATATCCCAGTAGCTCTTTATCCTTAGATATAAATTAGTATTGGCATGTCCTTGACGTTTCAAAGAGATACCATTGAGCTGGCCTCTGTTTCTGTCCTAGAACTTGCTGATTATACCAAATTGAATGGTGAGGTTATTTGCCTTGGATAGACAGATGTTTGGTGAGGAAACAGGTGGAGAGGACAGCCCCAAAGAAGGTGGCTTTCAATAATTGTGATTAGGAGGAGTATTTAAAGACAAAAACAAAAACAAGCCAACAAACAAAGAACCCTAACCCACTAGGTCTGGATTACTATCAGAGAGAAATTAATTGAAATTTAAAAACATATTCCATTCTGCCACTAGGTGGCTCTGCTTGATAGAAAATTTTAGTGCCTTGGGGCCAGGTGTCATTTATTAGCCCTGGATGCTATCATTTAAATGATACTATCTTTGTGAGCAGGGAAATCAGTGAGTTTGGGGGATTTGCGATTAGAGAATTGTTTGTTCAGTATGTGGAAAAAGGTAGAAAGATTTAAAGAGGGGACTTGCTCTTCAGAGCATGACTATGTTTTGGGGAGGGGGCTCACCAGGTTATCTGCTGGGGTGACACAAAGATGACCAGACAGCAGAGACGTTGAGCTGCGACAGTAATGGGATCACTTGCCTTAGAACATACAGAATCTAGCGTGAGAGCACAGTGAACACCCATGAATACACAAGTTATCGATTCACTTGTCTTAGAGGCTTCCAGATTGCAGTCACATGTCACCAGGCGGTCCCCGAGGCCACAGCGCTGCAAATAAAGATGTTCTTGGGTTTTCCTTTGGGGTCTTTGTCTCGGCCTCTATTCCGCAGAATCCCGGTACGTTACCTAATAATTCACCACCCTGCACCTGTCTCAGTCATGGACTAACACAGTCCTACGCAGGCCAGCCTCAGCCCTGACCCTGAAGTCCACGCTTAGAGATTAAGTTCAGTTACCTCTTGGGGTATTTATATGTTCCAGTTCATCTCTAGTTCAGAAAATACTCTATCTCACTTAAATGAGAATAACAAAAAGGCAAAAGAAAGAGAAATAATGCCATTGTTACATGACCAGGGACATCACAGAGGAATCTTTCCCACATATCTTAACCTTCCCCTCCTAACGAGATGGTGCCCAGGTCAGTACAGATCCCCCGCAAACTCCATTAACATTTTTGCTGCACCCTCAGTGTTGAGAAGGGTCAGTAGTTCTGTGCGCCTGAATCTCACTCTGAATTACTGACATCACTGCAGAAACCTGCCCTTACAGAACTGTATGCTAATGAAATTTTATTAAAAATCTTGTTTGTTTGTTTTTTAAATATAGAGAGGTTGGTTTCGAAATAAGCTGCCTATAAGACAAAAAGGTCCTTATCTGTTTGAAGAGTTGTTCTATATGAACTGATCATTTTGCAAGTGAGTATCCAGAATCCTCTGTGGGCCTGGAACCATGTGGCTCCTGCCAGGGCTTCACCCCGCCCCCTGTCTGAGCAGCCAGCACTGGAGTTCTAGACTGGCTAGTCTCAGCTCTTGACCACATCCCTTCTCGAGACTTCCACAGGCGTGTGATGGTGAAAGCAGAATGAATTTACAGGGACTGTCACATGCCCTTCTCCGCCACTCACTCACAGCCCAGCTCACCATCAACACCTCCCCACGGGTGACACATTGGTTACCACAGGTGCTATGTCGCCATCAAGTAGCTGTTGGCACTGACCCCTGAGACAGCCCTCTCATCGGGTGACCTTAATGCTTCAGAAAGCAGGGGACAGCGAATATGGAGGGGGGCTTAATGGATGCCACACTGTCCATCCTCCTGATGAATGGAGACTTCTGGAATCCATCTGCAGCGTCGGTCCTCTTTGGATGTCAGACATCCTCTGGATTCTGGGATCCCTCCCAGCCCTTGACTTTCCCTGTTCTCACTGACTGCACTGTTCTGCGACCCTTCCATGCTCTCCCCACTTCTCTCCTTCCTTTCTCTCTTCCCTTATCCCCCCATCTCTGCCTCTGTCATGAGTTGGGATCTTACTATGTAGCCCAGGCTAGCCTTGGGCTCATTATCTTGCTGTCTCAGCTTTCTGAGTATTGGGATGATGGAAGTATTGACACAGATTGACATTTTAAGTATATGTGTTATTTTTAGGGTATATTAATTTCACAAAATAATAGATGTCATATTTTCATGTATCCATATATTATACTTTGATCAAACTCCCCGTCACTATTTATTAGCTCTTTACCTCAGAGTGGACATTTTACTTGAACTATGGAATCTAATTTCTGGTCTAGGAGTCTGAGAATGGAACCCCGGACCTTGTCCCTGCTAGGCTGGCGTTCTGCTTCTGTGCAGATGCTCAGCTCCCAAACAGGATTTTAGTAAGGACCTGCTATGTATAAAATATGTCAAGACCTTTGCAGTTAGGTTGTCATGTTTAAAAAACAATGGTAGGAAAAGACAACAAAAGAGTTTGAGGGAGAAAAAGTTCTCTATTCTTATTTCCCACCTAAGTGGCCTTTCCCCCATAATCCCCTGTTATGTGGCTTGCACCCGACAATGGAATCCTTTCAGGGTATTCAGAGCATTGGAGGAGGTCAGGGGTAGAGGTAGCCCAGAGTCGAGAGGCTCTCATCACCAACGATGCTAGGCTTTGCCAACACGTGATGTTAAGAACAGATCCGTTTGGTGGGTTTTATAATCAGCTGTTCAAAGTCTCTAGAGAAAGCATACTCCTCCATTGTCTGACCCCACCTGTACCACACCCCCCTCTCAAATGCCACTAGATAGTGGTACAATCCAGACAGAGTCCACCTGGTCCTGGCCTGTCCAGGCTAGCCAGCCTCTGCCTTTCTCCTGAGTCGTTTCTAGTCAGACACTCAGTGCTTCTGTCTGCACCTCGGACTACATGAGCTCAGACAGGGAGGTGCAAACGTAGCCAAGTGCCCACTGTCTGCTCCCCATCTCTGTCCACAGGTGGAGAGTTTCTACTGTGCAACCATGCAGAGAAAAGTTAAGGTACTGGGAAGTGTCTGTGGCCACTTGCAGTGTTTCCTTTGGCAGTTTCTTTCCTCTTTCCCCGTCTAGTCCCTTAAAAAAAATCATTAAAAGGGGCTGGAGAGATGACTCCGTGGTTAAGAGCACTGACTGCTCTTCCAGAGGACCCGGGTTTAATTCCAGCACCCACATGGCAGCTCACAACTCCAGTTTCAGTGGGACCCAATACCCATGGCAAAACACCAATGCATGTAAAATAAAAATAAATAAACTTTTTAAAAGATTTAAAATAATTATTAAAAGTATCCTTCAAATCAGCAAATATTAAGAGTGAACTAGCCTGGTATAGTCACACATGCTTTTAATCCCAGCACTTGAGAGGCAGAGGCAGTCGGACGCAGGCAGATCTTTAAGTTTGAGGCTAGCTTGGTCTACAGAGCAAGTTCCAGGACAACCAGAGCTACACAGAGAAACCTTGTCTCAAAAAAAAAAAAAAAAAAAGTGAACTAGTTTGGCTCAAATCTAGGTTCAGTATCACAAGGGATACAAGTAATACAAGTAATAGTTTGTGCCCTCCAGACAGGTACCCAGAATGACATTGTTAAAAACAGGTGTGTGAGCGTGTGAGCATGTGAGCGCGCGTGTGTGTGTGTGTGTGTGTGTGTGTGTGTGTGTGTGTGTGTACCAGATTATGTCTCCATAGCAGGTAGCACGATCTCTGTGTCCTGGGTGATTCTAAGCCTCATCTCAGTAACTCCACCCAGGCCAGGCCTCTGTCGGAAAAAAGAGACTTGATGAGAAAGGAGCTTGATTTAATTGTTCCGTGACTTTGTGCCAAACTGAACTCTGTACTCTGAAACTGAGTCAGAGCATCACAGCCTTCCAAGGGCTTGGTGACGGCACATTGCCACCTCCAGAGATGGCTGTGTTAGCTGTGGCCGTCACTCAGCGCGGCCACAAGATAGATGGGTCAGGAGGATGGCATGACCGTCCAGTCTGGACACACTGAGTCGCAGCTATGAGGTGAGGTGTTGGAGCCGAATCCGCCCTCATTCTGCTGGCGGCGTGCCAACTAAGTGCCTTCTTGAAGGTTGTTTAACGGTTTGTCCGTCTGTTCCTGTGTGTGCTGTGGAAAGGTGTTCCATGTTCTTCACGTGTTTACGTAACACCCCGAGACAAATTACTCATTAGTGCTGCTGTCGGAAATAAGTTGCTAAGGCTGCACGCATGCGCATCATGGCAAGCAGGGAAGGTTTACAGAGGGGCCACTGTTGTGTCGGGTGCAGCTCAGGGGCAGCTCGCCAAGGTAGTTTTAACAGGGACGCCAGGGTTTGCTAGAGTTAAACATGCATGGCTTCTTCGATCATTTCCCAGAGATGATGGATAAACCGGAGGCAGCAGGGAGCGCATCGAACTAAATACAAGAATGGGCCTATGATGGGGGACCACCTGGGTCATTGGGCTGAGGCTATGGGGGGCTGTGGAGGGCTGTGGAGGGGTCTGGGGGGCTGAGGGGAGGAGGCTGCTGACTCACTCGCTGTGGTGCCTGGTGGACATGGCACCACACGGAACACCGGGAGGGCAGATGCTGCCTGGGAATGGCCCGATGTCTCAGCAAGGCAGAAGCAGCTTGTGTCTATGCTGGGTCTGTGTCGTCCCAGAATGATGTTCCAGAGGTCATGAGCGCTCTGCTTTGGAGGAGTTAAGTAAAGGACACCACTCAGCAAAATGCTTCTCCTTAGAAATTTAAAGTGTGCTTCTGCAGACGTTTCCTTAAAGCCTTTGAGTGTTTGAGGCAGTGTTCCAGATAACTAGCAAACATTCGCCAGTGCTCAGTCTGCAGAATAAG